ATGAAAGAAAGGCTCATTCCCAAAAGAGCAAACAAAACACAATAAACATAAACTAGATAAAATGAAGAACAAGCATGAGAAGATTTTGCCATAGAGCAAATTAAAATCATGACCAAATATCTTTCCATTAAATAATTTACTTAAAAAGATTTTTTTTATCCTTAAGTTTTTTTTTTAATAGATATGGGGTTTTTCCATGTTGGCAAGGCTGGTCTAGAACTCCTAGCCTCAAGTGATCTGACCTCCAAAGTACTGGGATTACAGGCGTGACCCATCATGATGCTCAACCAAAAAATTGTTTTCTTTTTTTTTTTGAGACAGACCTGTTGCCCAGGCTGAAGTACAGTGGTGCAATCTTGGCTCACTGCAACCTCTGCCTCCCAGTTCAAGCAATTCTCAGCCTTCCAAGTAGCTGGGATTACAGGTGCATGTGACTACGCCCAGCTAATTTTTTGTATTTTTAGTAGAGACAGGGTTTCACTATGTTGGCCAGGCTGGTATCGAACTCTTGGTCTCAAGTGATTTGCCTGCCCAAAAAAATTGTTTTCTATGAAACAAGAGCCCAGTGAGATGTAAGAGCTTATGGAAAAAACATAGATGCTCAAAGAAATAAAACAGAAGATGAAAATTAGGGTAACAGAGGTCAGGAAAGTAATAAATTAAAAATCACCAAGGAAAGAAGGGTTACAAAACACATAGCAGAAAGGAGATAAGATACTAACCCAGTAAGAATAAAGGTAACAGGCTTGGGAAAACAGAACAAAACAAAAAGACCTAAGAGTTTAAAAGGATTAAGAAGAAAATTACAGATAACGGAATTTATGTGCAAAAGAAAACAGAAAAATGAACTAGGAAAAAAATTAAGATATCACTTAAAATAAATTTCCCATTTTAACGATATTGATTCTTCCAATCCATGCGCATGGAGTGTTTTTCCATTTATTTGTGTCATCTCTGATTTATTTTAGCAGTGCTTTACAGTTCTCCTTGTAGAGATTCTTTCACCTCCTTCATCAGCTGTATTCCTAGATATTTCGTTTTCTTTTCTTTCTTTCTTTCTTTTTTTTTTTTTTTTTTTTTTTTTTTTGTATTTAGTAGAGATGCAGTTTTACCATGTTAGTCAGGCTGGTCTCAAACTCCTGACCTTAGGTGATCCACCCACCTCCCAAAGTGCTGGGATTACAGGCATGAGCCACCATGCCCAGCTGAAACAGCAAATTATATTTTAATCTCTGCAGATTTAAAATCTCCATATAATAAGAAGGTAAAAACTAGTTTCCCTTTGTCAGCAAGCCTATAGTTTTGTGGTTTGATTTTAAGGGAACAAAAAGGCCCATTTGCTGAAAACAACTGCTAGTTTCCTGTAATGCCTCAACTTTTAATCATTAGAACCATCCCTTTAGAGTAAGGCATACTATCTCCAGAGGCTTCATTAAATTGTAAATATGTCACCTGGAAAGGTAACATCTACAAACTGTTGGTGCCAACTGACACATAAACACAATTACTTCTCTAGTGTTTATCTTGGCAAAGAGCAGTCTCTTGCTGGGATAAGGGACAATCAAAGTAGATTTCTTTAAATATGAGGACAGACAGAAAGGTCTGGAAAAGAAGATATTTCCAAGTTATTTGTTCTTTTGTTATAGGTATCTGGGAACTCAGAGTTCTTGTTAAAATTATATAGTACTCACACACTCGCTGAATATTTTAAATTACTTTATGACATTTTTTAGGGAATGGAATTCATGAGTGCATCTCCTATACTTAGTTTCTATTTTACCACACTGTTCATAAAGTTCAAGGTGTGAAAGACAAAAACTATTCAGTGTAATGCAAAATAAGTTTATGTAAAAATATCTGTGTTAGTGTGAGCAGATATGAAATGTTACAAATTTTTTTTGAGACAGGGTCTCACTATGTCGCTCAACCTCCACCTCCGGGGCCTAAGGGATCCTCCCACCTCAGCCTCCCAAGTAGCTGGAACTACAGGTGTGTGCCACCATTCCTGATTCATTTTATTTTTTTGTAGAGATGGGGTTCACCATGGTGCCCAGGCTGTAAATGTTTAAATTACTTTAATACCACTTATAGGTTTTAATAAATTTATAAAAAGAATATATTATCATCATTAGATATTTAGGTCATGTCTTGCAGAGGACATAGTAAGTAAAATTTAGATTCCATATATATACATAAGAATAAGGCAAAGGAGGTAGAGGATGAGACAAAAAGTTTTCTGATGAAAGAATTACTCTTTCATACTTAAGATTACTTTAAATAACTAAAAAAAGAATTATTTGCAAAAAATAAATAAATAAAAGCTGTAACATAAACCAAATCCAAATTACTTACCTAGCAAGTTGTGCTAGTTCTTTTTGGGTCAATGGGCTTCCTTGTTTACATAACAGATTTTTAAGCAAAAGTAGTCTTGTCTGAAAATAAATATTAAAAATGATCATTCCAGTCTAATTTAATATCAGAATTAATGATTCTTTTATTATTTTATTTTGTTTTTTATTTTGAGACAGGGTCTTGTTCTGTTACCCAGGCTGGAGTACAGGGCACAATCATAGCTCACTATAGCCTCGACATCCTGGATTCAAGCAATCCTCCCATCTCAGCCTCCTGAGTAACTGGGACCAAAGGATGTGCCACCATGCCTGGTTAATTTCGATAAAAGTGTTTGTAGAGACAAGATCTCCCTATGTTGCCCAGGCTCGTCTTGAAATCCTGGTGCAAGCGATCCTCTCAGCTCAGCCTCCCAAAGTGTTGGGATTACAGGTGTGAGCCACCGCACCTGGCCAAAAAACAGTTTTATAGAGGCATGAATTCGTCCACAATGAACTTCACCCATTGTAAATGTATAATTCAATGACTTTTAATACATCTATAGAGTTGTGCAATCATCACCATAATCCAGCTTTGGAACACTTTTTAGGTCACTCATACCTGTTTGCAGTTAATCCTCATTCCCAGCCCTCACCCTGACAACCCACTGATCTGCTTTATGTTTCTGGAAATTTGTATTTTCTGCACATAAACAGAATCATATGATATGTGACATATATCTTGCTTCTTTCAATTATCATAAACTTAATATATGAAGTGAGTATGCAGCATGTATAATAGATAACAGTATCTATTAAAAGAATATAGAACATTTGTTTATTCACCAAAATGAACATTTAGATTCTTTGTAGTTCTGGCCATTATTAATATTGCTGCTATAAAAATTCCTGTATAAGTCTTTGTGTAAACACACATTTTTTTTTCTCTTGGGTAAATTCTTAAGGAGTGAAATTGCTGAGTTTGACAGTAAGCTTACATTTATCTTTTTAAGAAACCACTAAACTGTTTTCCAAAGTAGGTGTACCATGGATTGGAAGACTTAATATTGTCAAGATGGTAGTTCTTGTTTCTGCTTTAAAACAAAAAAAATTCAAACACAGATACATACCTCCTCATTTGGTAAAGACACATATACCCGTTTGATGAAACGCCTAAAAAAAAAAATCCAGCACTTTTAGAAATATAATTTTGAATTTAAAGCTGAAGCAGCAAATGACAGGAAAAAGCTTTTAAAGTATAATATTGAAGGCACTGGAATGCATTTTGGTAGTTATCTATGTAAAACTATTTTTGTTACTCTTTTAAAACTCTAGTTAATATTTAAAAATGCTTAATTCAGTATTTTTAGAACGAATCATTTATGTATGTATGTTTTTAATAGCAATAATGCTTTAAAACAAAATATCTGATATAAGTAGATCTCTCCTGTTTTCTTGAATCTGAAAAAGTACTAAAATCAGCAAGGATAATAGAAACAGAAATGTAAACTTTATTAACAAACTAGGTAACATTTATGGAACTGGAATACATAAAGGTGAACTGCCTAGGACAGTGAAAATTATACTGAGAAAAGGAAGATGCACACAGGATCTGCTGTGGAAGATCATGGACATAACTGTCAGAACACAGTTTTCCCCCAAAAAGAGACAGCACACCCTGAAGGATAATAAAGCCAATCCTTCCACATTTAAACAAGCATATGAGGCCTGGCTCTGCAGACCATGTAAACCCTAATTGATAGCACAGGAATGGCAAGGAAAGTGAGACTGAACAAAGAAACTCTAAGACAAATTATCTTTGAAAGAAGGCATCTAACAGTCTGGCGGGAAGACACTGTCTTGCAGTGACCAATATTTTTTAGTAGAAGAATAAATCAACTCTAACTCTTATTTACACACACATGTATTCCATTATCAGGTATGGCTTCACTGTAAGTGAAGGAGGCTGCATGTTAGTTTGGTGTACACATGGACTACTCAAAATACCTATCCCTTCCCCTGCAATATCCTTCCAAAACTAGGTTTCCAAGAAAACTCCTTTTATTCAAAGAAAAATAAGCAAAAGTGAAAAACAAGGACAGGGCTC